GAAATCTAACCATGTAAGGCTAGCCTAAGTTTTTTTGTGGTTGGACCTAACGGCTTTTATAAGATATTTGATTGGCATCTTAGGTACTTCATGTAGGATAGACATTTTTTGTACAGGATCATGTCAAAACACACTTTTCAGTATGGTTTGTGACATAGATATTGCTAAAAGGGTAATTCAAGTTTCCCAGCAAATGTGGGAAACTGAAATTACCCCCACAAATTGGTCCCTGCATGGCTTCCCCTGGTAGTCATACCTTTTGGGGGAACCGCCATTCCTCCCACTGCAGCCAGTACTGTGTAAATGGAATAGTGCTTGCAAATGGTGATCGCTTATTGGTCAGAGTGGTCACTTGACCATGCTGACAAATGAGAAGTGCTTCTTGGCCTTAAGAGCTTCTTATTGTTCAGTGTGGTCAGATGATCGCTCGCTCGTCATTTGCAAGCATTACTCCATATACACAGTACCGAGCTTCAAGGCCGTGTACTGAACATACATCGGCTGCAGCGGGGGTGGGGGATGAGGGGATTGGTGGTTGGGTGGGAATGATGGTTCCCCTAAAATAAATGACCACTGAGGGGGGGAGGGGGGGGGCAAAAAGGACCATTAAAAAAAACTTCAGGTACAAAATGGATTTACACTGTATTTTAATGGACACGTATTTCAAGATAGTATTTGAATGTTTACACTAAAGTAATTTTTTTGTTTTATGCATCACATAATTTATACAGATTTGTATTTTGTATTTTCTCTCTATATAAAACAACTGCAACAACTGCTGTGATAAAGAAACTTATTTATCAGAAGAGTTGAGAATCTTAACTCAATAAATTAAGTGAGGATTCACTTCAATTACGCAATCATGTGAAAAGCAGATTCCTGTTTATTTCATGTCCACATGATCGGATATTCAAAGTGAACACATCTGCAGTTTATTGAGTGAAGATTCTCCACTCATTTAATACATCAACCTAACTATTTCAGCCACACAGGGAGTTTTTAGTCAGTCACACCTGACTGTTGGGGCCTGATTTACTGAAGTGTAGTGATGTGAAATGATCCTGGGCCACATTTACTAAAGTGGAAAGTCCAACCATGTGCGAGGGAATTTGAAAAATGATATAGAGCTTCTGCCTTACGATTGGATGTCTGCTTTAGTAAATTTGCCCCACGGACTGCTTTAGTAAATCTGTCCTTCACGGTGCTTCACACTTCAATAATCAAACCCCTAGACTTGCATTGAGATACGGAGGAAGAAAAAAGCAACAAGCCATAACCACTGTGTTGCACCACTAAGCAAGAAGTATGTATCAGTAATGAGAAAATATGACTGTCCATATATTTATATTTAACATGACACGCTATACATAGAAACAAGGTTTTTAAAGCATTAATGCACATTTGAATTATGCTGCTCAAACGCATGTTTTCTAAAACAATATAAAGACTACTGTTTGTAACTATAAAGTTAATTACTGGAATTACCCAATATGCCAGTGACTGCTCTCTATGAACTAATTCCCGGATGTGCTGACTGATGGTGCAGAGTGTTATAGAGAAGTATGAAATAATGAGGGTACTAAACTCCATAGTAAATGCAGATCAGTTTTGGACAGCCAGGTGAGGCCTGCAGATATTTTGAAAAGCTTGCACTAAAAGCTAATTAAAATCCTTTCTAACGATAAAAGGAGCTTTTGGAGGAGTGTTGTTGTGATTGTGTTTTCTAAGAATTTAATTTACAGCCAATTTTTCCTATCTGAATGTTATTTTCAAATTCAGACAGTGATAAGGACTAACATCTGTTTTCTGTTCAATAGTACAAGGAGGCTCTGCATGGGGCTGAGTGTACATAGACCATGTGAAGCCATTGTTATCCTTCTTTTTTTTGTCCCCTTGCCTAGTCCATTTGCCACATACCATCCGGCAAACAGCTGACACATATCGGCTATTATGGAGCCCGGCCTAATTGTGTCCCAATCTTTAAAAGCTTCTCTGTGCTTGTCTTGTGTGATGTATCAGAGGCTAAGACTATATAAACAGCAGTATCAAAGACCACTCTCATTTTTGCATTTGCAGAGTAACAGACTGTTATGCCAGAGGGTTTGTTGCTGCTAAATATATAATCAGAATCTAGAAGCCGTTATTTGCCTTTTCTCCGGAATGTTTGTGTTTTCGATGGTAATTCAGCATGCAATTATGAAAGATTTCCACAGCAGTTTAGTTCAGTGAAAGAAACTAATGCAGATCCATTTGGCAGCTTTCCTTTAAATTTGCACATTAAATTGGTTCTTGTTAAATATATGCAAAAGACAAAATAACAGAGCTTGGGATTTTTTTAAAATTTTATTTATTTATTTTGCTTATCAAATTTCATTGTGTTTTCCACAGCCTTCCTGGAGCAGAGACCACGACGACACAGCATCAACGCGTTCAGGGGGAACACCTGGACCATCCAGTGGGGGGCACACGTCGCATAGTGGGGACAACAGCAGTGAACAAGGTAGGAATTATTTAATGATAATACACATGACTATATATTAATAAAAAACTGAACTTATATCTACAGGTAGTCAATGCACACAATAAATGTTGCTAATGCCATAACTTTGGTACTCAGTTTGCTTGGCTCTTTAAAATGCACTTTGGAGTTATGCATAGGGCCGCGTGGCTGTCTTACTGTGATTGAGATTATTTTCCTTCTCCTGAAAATTGCCATTTATATTACCTAAATATTGTGAATTAGAGGTTTTACTGATTTATTATATGCATGAGATGTGTTGTTGTTTTATTGATTTGATATTTTCTGTTATAGAATGTGATTGATATATTGGTCCTGGTACATTCAGCAAACATGGTTATTGCTTGTTAGCATTTGATTTTCTGCTACAGAGTCATTACAGTATTGTGTGACACAGACCTCTGTGAGTGTGTAGAGATACAACTAAAGCATTTTCTTTTCTCTATACCTGCAGTAGTGGAATATTGTACCGTGTTAGCCATCGATTAATGCAAAAAGTTTGAATGAAATGATACCCTTTAACTGCAGAAACATTATTTGCAATAATACCAAAATGATGACATTAGCTTCATTTGGCAAGCAGCCTTCTGTCTTCATATCCTGCTGTCCCCATTTTTTTTTTAAAGTTTAGAAGCTTTTATTTTCCCTAGTTCCTATCATAATTTATATTTGAGTTACATATGGAAGTGTTTAGCTCTCCTCTGTATTTGGTTTAACCCCACCATTATTAGGGGCAGTTTGTGCCTTCATGACCACAGCGATCCCAGTGAGAAGTTGTGTCGGAGACACAGTGTAGCAATCCTCACTCTCTTCCTCATACTAGTAAGGGACTGCAGGAGAAATTTATATGGAAAAGTTTTTTTTTTGCAGTAGGTGCTGATTAATATTGAGGCAGTAAAGCTGAAAGATGTCCCAGATTTGAATAGGACACACAAGAATTTTTAAAGGTGAACTCCAGCCAGAAAACTACATACATCTACAGTGGACTGTGAGCTGCTTTACTTGACAAATCGTTTGTGATTCGGTCCATCAACTTCTTAAATTTACACAGTGTTTTGCGCTGACAATCCTGTACAGTACAGTAGACCTGGACTGACTGGCTACTGGCTTTCCATTTTCAGTTCTGCTGTACATGGGATTATTAAGCACTAATATAAAGACAGATTACTTATTTATACTAGCTTTATCTAAAAATACATGTAATGTTTGTTTCTCTAAAAATGTATAACTGATTTATTTGTTTCTTTTGATTTGGCCGGAGTTCAGATAGATACATTCACACTAATGTGATTTGTCGCATGTCTGCCATCACGCTGCAGTGGAAATTATATTCTTCTCTATGGTGACTGTTCACACTAAGGCAACATGATGCAGTGCATTTTGTGGCAAGGTGAAGGTGCTTCTTTTAGTGCTGATAGCATGGTTTAAGCCCCATAGACTGTAAGAGTAGTGCTTGAAAAATGCAGAAAAAAACTCATGTAATGTGCACTTTCGTGCATTTTAGTGCAAAACATCAAGCCCCACCCCCGTAGTAAGCTATGCTTTATTTTACTTTCATGGGTCAAAACAAAAATGCATAATGCATGAAAACACATGACAAAAACATGAAAAACACATTACATGAAAGATATGTGCTGAAAAATGTATACAAATGTATGTGTTATTCGCTAACTTTCACTTTGCTACTTGAACAGCCCTTACTCTTTTAGAACCCATTCACATTATTACGTTGCAGTGACATGTACAACACACACCATATGCATTTGAGCGATGCGGTGCCATTCATTCTGAAAGCATTGCGGTGCAGTGCAGTATGGTGCGTTGGCAGAAGTGGTACTTTTTTTGCCTCCTTTTAGTGCGTTAAGTAGCTGATTCAAATGAATAGGCTTTCTTAATGCAATGCAAATTAACGTAATAACGCATGCTAACGTACCACAGTGTGAATGGGCCCTTAGTGAATGACCCCTAATATGTATTTACCATTTAATTTTTTATTGACGCATTTCCATTAAACAGAACTTCTGTTGCGTGTTTTGATGAGACAGACATGGCTAATGTGTGAGCTGTATTCTTTAGAGGCATTTAGGGCCTGCTCGCAGGATTATTATTTTATAAAGTAGAGAAATTGATTAGCTATTCAGTGAAGGCTGTGTCTTGAAATATGCATTCTGCAACCTGGTTTCTAACAGAGAGTGGGTAATGCAGACAGCTGGAGTGTTTTCAATGTTATTGGCTGAAGTTTTATATAGATTAATGTGAACAATTATCAGAGCCTCTTATAATGACCATGTATGAGATACTCTTATAAAGACAAATCACCTATCAACACCTGTATTTGACTGCTCATCCTAAACATGCAGGACTAAGCACCATTTAGCATCAAACCTCTTAGTATAATGCCACTTTACCACTGAATCAACTAAAATGAGACTGAAAATCTTTTCCATTCCTTCTTGATACTCTAATATAGGATAAAAGTAATATTTATAACAGCTTAGACGTAACCAGTTAAAAAAGTAAAGTTAAAAAAGAATTGACACATAGAATGAGATTTAAGGCAAGCTACTCATGCATCTCTGCTCCTGGACACTTGCAGCTTATAGGGCAAACTAGTCGATGATCAGGTATGTAGCCTACTGTGGGTGAATAGTATACATCTGGGTTATCAGAGTTTCTTTCGAGCCATTTTATTTTAGAGTAGGGAACAGTTCTGTTAGTTTAGGAGATTTTCACTAATTTCCTGTCTCAGTGACAATGTTGTCCCAAGCACAAAATGGGGCAAGCTGTTTAACAGGGACACGCTGACAAGAAAAGCAGTGGAGACTTGACCGCTCACGTTTTGTCTCTACAATAGGAAGTGAGGGGAAACTTTCCCAACGGGAGTAAAAAAATATAAAAAAAATTAAACAGGATTTTAACAATTTAACTTCTTCCTACTCTATCCAAAATAAATAATAATGTGTTTTGGCTAGAGATAAACTTTCATTTGAAATAATTTTTCATCATGAACATTTTTGTAAGCATGCAAAAAAAAAAAAAAGGATGTTTAAGTTAGTTATAAAAAAAAACAAAACGTAAAATGTAAATAAATGAATAATTCCCAAAGAAACAGTTAAAATTTCCATAATTGATATTAAATATATTTCTTAAAGTACATATACAGCCAAAACCTTCTGTTTAGGTTATAATAGGGTGCAGATAGTAAGTGTAGAGCCCCTCTTGTTATTGGTGTGTCCCATCTAGGTAGATTTATTCTTTCTTACTTGTCCTAGTGATCATTGTCACAGAGACAGGAAGTTATGGGACAATCAGAATTTTATAGTTGTCTTCAGAACAAGAGGTGAAGGTTAATCTTCCAGTGGAAGACACCTGGTCTGGTGACATTGGTCTAAAAGGGGAACTTACCTTACTTTGAACAGATTTCCTCTTACTTCCTATTGTGTCTTTGGGACAAGAATTGAAGGAGAATTTCCCCATTGGGACATAGACTAAAAGAATTAACTAATGTAAAAAAAGGCATGGAGTCCTCCTTCATCAGTGTGAAGAGATATAGCAGCTGTTTTCTTTTACTTTTGATTTGTGCAATGCCACTATTGGCCAAGCACTCTTTCTTTGGAGGGCAGTGCGGAACAGACTGATGTTAAGCAAAAAATAAGTTGATAGAGGTTTTAACCCTTCCCTATCCCTATCCAGAAAGAAAGAGGTTTGGCTATGCATGCCCTTTAACCAGATCATGCTCGTAGCATTGAAGGATGAATCTGCTCTTTTTTGTTCAGGCCGCAGGTTGAAAGAAAAAAATAGAGCAGTGTATGGCCAGCTTAAGTCTTTAACCCCTTGTTAGGACAGACAGTGTTTCAATCTAGTTTAGAAGGGATAATGAAATCTGACTGCAGACAGGGTTAATTATAGTAAACATATCTTTGTACAGCCCTCCTTAGGGGAAGCTAGGATGGATTTTAAAGCAAGTACTGTAAAAGCACTTAAAAATCTAAGCAGAAATTTGCAATCTTTTTAAAGTTATGCAATGTGAATGGGAACATGTAACAAACATAAAGTAGGTGTTAACCTAATTTGGCTGCAAAAGTGGTACTATACTTTAAGAGGGGATATGATCACAATGTACAAATGTATTTATCAACGGTGATTGTAATAACGGTAATAAACTGTTTACTCTATGGTCCCTGAAGCAGACACATGGCCACAACTTGAAGAAAAAATATTTGATCTTAAACTGCGTAAACGATTCTTTAAAGTTATGCCCCATTCACACCTATGCGTATTGTAATATGCGCGTCTGTCGCGCGACCGTCACGCGGTTTTTTTACCGCGATTCGTGGTAAAAAAGTCGCGCGACCGTCGCACGATTCCAAAGGCTACTTGGCAGTATACAAATGGAAAACGCCCTACAAAACGGACCAATACGCAGCAAAAAACGCTCAGGGACCTTTTCATGCGTGGGCCGTTTTGTAGTGCGTTCGGGACGGGCGGAAATACGGACAGGTGGGAACGATACCATTGACTACAATGCTATTTATTTTTTTGACCGTTTTGTAGAGCGTTCATCGAGCGTAGGACGCGCTACAAAACGGTCAGGTGTGAATGGGGCCTTAGAGCAGTGAAAACATGGAACTCTGTTCCCCAGGTGGTGGTATCAACTGACACTGTTGATAAATTAAAACATTTATAGATGTCTTTCTCAGTGAAAAATATATACAGGGATATGGGGGTACTTAGGCACACACACACACACACACTGAACTGGATGGAACTGTGTATTTTTTCAACCTATTTCTACAACTATGAAAATGATCAACAATCTGCTTTAATGTTAGTGTGTTTGTAAAGCCCCACTCCCCAGTTATAATAATGTTACCAGCACTCCCAAGCTGGAACTAAAATTTGAAGGTGTTAGCTGATGTAGGGCGCTAAGGGAAGTGGTGATGCCATTTCCCCGGGTATGTGACAGTGTTGGGGACTAGCAA